GTGTACAATTTAGTGGGTTTTCTTGTTGCATTCAAGGTTGTGTAGCCATCACCACAATCTAATTTTATTATTTTTATTTGTTTACTTTTTTTACCTCTATTGTAGGAGCTGAGCAATCTAATTTTAGATTATTTTTGTCCCCCCTTAAAGAAACCCTATACCCATTAGCAGTCAATCCCTATTCCTCTCCCACATGCTCCTACCATAGGCAACCACTAATCTACTTTCTGTCTCTACAGATTTGCCTATTCTGGACATTTCATATAAATGGAATCATATAATATGTGGTCTTTGTGTGTTTGTTTTTGTACCTGGCGAGTGTATATGTGGTCTTTTGTGACTGGTTTCTTTCACTTAGCATTTTATTTTCATGGGTCTCATTCTTTTTTAATGGAGTTCATTATATAGTTATACCCTTATTTACTTATTTATTTATTTTCATTTCATTTTTATTTTATTACCCTAATTTATTTAACTATATTACTTTTAATGTACATTTAGGTTGAAATTTCTTGTATGTGTAGTATTCTATTCATATGTAAGTTAGGCTATAATATAAATTACTAAAATGGAACTATGGGATCAAAACAGTATATACTTTTTTAATTTTGGTAAATACTGCCAAGTAGTCTGTTATAGAGACCTATAATTAATTTATACTCCGCCCATCCCAAAAACATGTGAAATGACTATTTCTCCATAACTTTTCAAACATATTATATATAAAACTTTTTGATCATTGTTGAATGGGGAATACATAGTAGCATGTAATCTTAATTCGCACTTTTATTATAAATGAAAATAAGGATTATTTTATTATTTTAAGAGCCATTTGAATTTCTTTTTCTTGTACTGTAATATTTTTGCAATTTTCATTTTGAGTAGTTGGGTGTTTTTTGATTTGTAGGTATTTTTATTTATTTATTTATTTTTGGCAGCTGGCCAGGAAGGGGATCTGAACCCTTGATTTTGATGTTATCAACATCACATTCTAACCTGATTTGTAGGTATTTTTATTTTTGTTTTTTTTAAATTAATTTTTGTAGGTATTTTTAATATATAAAAGGTGTTACATATATTTTTTCTAGATTGTTCTTTTTCTTTTTTCCTAGATTGTCTTTTGTCCTTTAACTTTATGATGTTTGTTGCCATGCAGACATTTTTTATTTTTATGTAATTGAACATATCCGTCTTTTCTTTTGTGGCTCCTAAGTTTTGGATCATCTTTAGAAAGGCCTTAAATGTTGAGTTTTGAGAGTTCTTTATATATGCTAGATATTAGTCCTTTGTTGGATGTATAGTTTGTAATTATTTTCTCCCGGTTTGTAGCTTCTCTTTTCCTCCTTTCCACACGTGCTTTCACAGAGGAAATGTTTTTAATTTTGATGAGGGCCACTTTATCAATTTTTCCTTTTATGGATCATGTTTTTGGTGTCAAGTCTAAGAACCCCTTGCCTAACTGAATCCAGAAGTTTTCTCCTATTTTTTAAATTTTTTTGGTTGTTGGCCAGTACCAGGATCCAAACCTACAACTTCAGTGTTACCAGTACCACGCTCTAAGTAGCTGAGCTAACTGGCCAATTTGGGTTGTAAATTTTACATGTAAGTCTATTTTGAGTTATTTTATTTTATTTTTTTAAAGGTGACCAGTAGGGGATCTTAACCCTTGACTTGCTGTTATCAGCACCACGCTCTCCCAAGCAAACTAACTGGCCATCCCGACATAGGGATCCGAACCCATGGCCTTGGTGTTATCAGCACCATACTCTCCCAAGTGAACCACGGGCTGGTCCTTATTTTGAGTTAATTTTTGTATAAAGTATGAAGTTTAGATTTCAGAATTTTTTAAACCTTCTATATTGTTTCTAGTATATGATTTTTGTTCAAAATTTATCATTATTAGGGCTGGCCCGTGGCTCACTCAGGAGAGTGCGCTGCTGATAACACCAAGGCATGGGTTCGGATCCTATATAGGGATGTCCGGTTAGCTCACTGGCTGAGCGTGATGCTGACAATACCAAGCCAAGGGTTGAGATCCCTTTATCGGTCATCTATTTAAAAAAAAAGAAATATCATTATTATTTATTTATTTTATTGGTGGCTGGCAAGTATAGGGATCTGAACCCTTGACTTTGGTGTTACTACAGCATGTTCTAACCAACTGAGCTAACTGGCTAGCCCCTAAAATTTATTTATTATTATTATTGTTTAAAAGATGACCAGTAAGGGGATCTTAACCCTTGACTTGGTGTTGTCAGCACCACACTCTCCCAAGTGAGACACGGGCCAGCCCACTGATTTATTATTTTTAATTGTGGTATAATTTACATACAGTAAAATGCACAGATCTTAAACGTTCAATGTGATGAGTTTGACGGTTGTATAAACCCACGTAATTACCATCCACCCAAATGCGTTTAAATCCAAAGACAAGGGGCTGGCCCGTGGCTCACTTGGGAGAGTGTGGTGCTGATAACACCAAGGCCATGGGTTCGGATCCCTATATAGGGATGGCCGATTGGCTCACTTGGGAGAGTGTGGTGCTGACAACACCAAGTCAAGCGTTCAGATCCCCTTACCAGTCATCTTTATTAAAAAAAAAAAAATCCAAAGACCAAATGACAAAAGAAAAAGAAAAAAAGAAAGAAACAAATGTGTTTAAATCCAACCATATAAAGGAACAGTGTAGAAAACTAAGGGTAGTGTCAGCCTGTTAGTGGGTGTCTGGTTATCATCACCTTTGTTTTGTTTTGTTTTTATAGGAAGAAGTAGCTCACTTAGCCAGAACTATTGAAAATTCAAAAGTATTGTTCGCTTTTCGTTAAGGTCAATGACTGTAGTAAACTGCAGTATAGTTTCTTAGAGGGAAAGTTTGATATTTCTCACACCATTTTCTTTTTTCTTTTTCTTTTTGGGTGGCTGGCCAGTATAGGAACATTGGAGCTATTTCTTAAGGTTAATTGGCAATTCCTAAATTGGTATGTGATTATTCATGTTTGCTACTGTGTAGATAGCCCATATTTTTTGTCTCCAGGACTTACAATAGAAATTCTCATTATACAAAATATCTCTATTACAAAAAAAGTCTCCACTTATTTTGAGCAATACTCAGAATTATTTGGAAAGTCCCTTGAAGGTGTGCGAATGTTATTTGAGAGGTATCTATGTTCATTGTGAGCTAGAGTGATGAGGGTTGTTTGATAATCTTTAGTTAAGTTTTTGCATAACTTGCTCTGGGAAAATAGTTTGCTTTTATAACATTAGAGCAACTATTATCAGGTTAATAATCTTTTCCTATCCTGACCCTTCCACTGGTAACATTTGTGGGTAGGGGAGAAGGAGGCATGGGCAACATATAGTTAAAAAAAAAACATGATCCCGATATTCTGATGTCCCCATCAGCTGGCTCTTGGCCAACAAGACAGCCTTGTTTCTCTTGGTTGTTTACCCAGTGCATAGGTAATTGCTTTTATTAAGGGTAAACCAGAAGAAGATGATTTCTTATATTAGAAAGTTAGGGGCCAGCCCGGTGGCGCACTCAGTAGAGTGTGGCGCTTGGGAGTGCGGCGGCGCTCCCGCTGAGGGTTCGGATCCCATATAGAGACCTGTCTGCTCACTGGTTGATCACTGGTTGAGCGCGGTGCGGGGGCGACACCGAGGGTTGCGATCCCGTTGCCGGTCGCGGTATGGGCGCGACACCGAGGGTTTCCCGTTACCGGTTACGAAAAAAGACAAAAAGGAAAAAAAAAAAAAAGTTAGACAATGAGTTGGGGAGGAACTCTAACACAGGCAAGAATAGAATAGATACAGATACACATTCAGGTTACTGAGCTTTACCAAGTTCTGAAAGCCATTGACATGATTCCTGCAAGTTCAAATCCCATAGTTTTGCCCAATGTCGTATTTCATATGCTGTAATAGATCCCTAACAATAGAACGTTCATTTTATAGGAAGATAGTCTATATGTACTGTAATCATTCCTTAATTTTAAACTTGTTCGTGAAAAAAATCTCTTTCATGAACATGTTTTTCTTGGCCCCCAGTAGGGACAAGGAGATATGTTTTTCTGCATCCAGTTTGTCTGGATCCTGGTCAGTGAAGATGTGCCAGATCATGCAACTGAAGTGGTTCTGTGGCAAGAGTGGTGCTTCATGCCAGTTGTTCATTTACAGGTAGCTTTTGAAAATGGCTGCCTCTCATTTCACCGGACTCACAGCTGTTGCTGATGTAATTAAAGATCTAGACACTCAAATAGCTGTAAGTAGGCTCTTTGAGGCCACTGTGGGCAGAACTTGGTGAATGTGCTTCTGATCCTGATGACACCAAAGCTGATGTCCACATAGTCAACCTGATGGCTCTAAGATTTAGGAGTCTTGGCTGCTCCAGGCTAGGGTCTCTGCATGTACTTAAAGATTGCTAACACTCAGAGGAAAATTGCTCTTGATGATAAAGAAGAGCTTACTTTTAACAACTGCTAAAAATTGTGTTTATTGGGCATAGCCCTGACATAGGCTTAAGCATGTTTTGAAATGCCAAAATGAACTAATCTGTTCTGTAAGCTTTGTGACTGGGTTTTAAGTTTGTGATTGTGCCTTGATTTATTTGAACTTAACATTATTTGATGTTTAAAAAATGATGCATGTAGTACTTAGCCAAGTATTCTATTCTCACAAAGTCCTCAAAAACATCTTGCTTATTCTACTTTATTTTTGTATATAATTCCATTTACTTTCTTCCTCATTCCACTTACTTTCTTCCTTATTTCAATTTTGTGGACTATTTCATTTAGCTTTTGGAGAAGAGATGGTTTCTAAATATCAGGTGAGAGCAATGAACATTCTTTATTCCCTCCATTTTTAATATGTAGGTATCAAATGGTCACCATCCCAGATATACTGAAGACCCTCCAAAGTGTGACAGACCTCATATAGTTTTACTTTCAAAACTCATACTTTATTACAGGTGCTTCTAGAACTAATTCTCATGTTTTCTCCTCCAGTTGATTGGCCTTGGTCCTCACAGCTCCAAAAAGAAACAGGATCTCGATAAGCTCTATGAGCTGAAGTCCAAAGCTCGACAGATTATGAACCAGTTTGGCCCCTCAGCCCTAATCAACCTCTCTAATTTCTCATCCATAAAACCTGAACCAGCCAGTACCCCTCCACAAGGCTCCATGGCCAATAGCACTACAGTGGTAAAGATACCTGGCACTCCTGGGACAGGAGGTCGTCTTAGCCCTGAAAACAATCAGGTATCATCCTCTTACTTTTTGCTTTCTGTAGACACCTCTTATTTGTTATTTGAACCAGTAATGCTTTGAGAGATGTCCATCTCAGATACTGCTTTTTCCTCTCAGCTGAAAAAGAAGGTCTTTTCTCTCCTCTAGAATTTTAACGTTCTTTATTGAGCTATCACGTGCAGTGTTTATCAGTGTTTACATGGTTGTGTGTACGCATATATACATACATCCATGCACACACATACACTAACACAATACCTTGCCTATAACAGGTGTTTTATATATGTGTCAGCTATGCAATTGTTGAATAATGTAATAAACGGGTTCATTATTCCTATAATAAAAGTACTCTGGCCTACAGTCATTCCTTTTTCCAATTCATCCATTTGCTGCTATTATTAATTTTCTGCAGTGATTCTAAAATCTTCTTCCCTCTTTTTACCTATGATCCTGATTCTGCTCTTCAAAGCCACAAGAAATAAGTATAATCACTTGATTTGGGTCTTATAGGCTGGATAGAATGGATGAGGTGACAACATTTCAAGAGAATGGGTAGAGGGACTAGCAAAGGTGAATGGAGGAGGGTTGGGCCGATAGTCAGGAGACCAACCTATGTTGAATATGGAGTCTAGTGGAGAAGAACAGGATAGGCAGAACATAGGAGGCCTATACTAGTAAGTTTCCGTTAGAACTTTAAGGCAATAGACAATCTTTGCAGATATTTAATAGGGGAGTAAGAGGAACATAATAAAAGTAGTAAGTCTTAGGATTAACTTGGCAGTGAGGGGACAAGTGGTGTAAGAAAGGGGAGTAGACTGGGAGGAAGGGAGGAAGACCAATTCTAAGACTTTTTTCAATAAATCAAGACATGTAGCAAAGGCTTGAATTAGGTGATGATGGTAAAATGGAGAAGAATGGATAGATCTAAGACATCATTAAAAATATTTATTTTAAAATTTTTCTTTTCTTTTTTTAAAGATGACCAGTAAGGGGATCTTAACCCTTGACTTGGTGTTGTCAGCACCACGCTCTCCCAAGTGAGCTAACCGGCCATCCCTATATGAGATCCAAACCTGTGGCCTTGGTGTTATCAGCACCACACTCTCCCAAGTGAGCCACGGGCCGGCCCTTTTGGTCATTTTTTAATAGCATATATATGTAACATGACATTTCCTTTATGAAAGAAGGATGGTAGCTGTACATACTTATACAACATTTAGTTATACAGAGATGAACACATGTTCCTTGCCCTTAGCGAGTTTTTAGCCTATTTAGTCAGAGACAGGCATGTTTATAAGTATGCACCATGATCGAAGGGTGCACAGAGGCCAAAGAAGAAAGTGGTTGCTTTTACCTGGGTGGGTTAGGAAAGGTATCGAATAGGAGGCACCATGAGCTGAGCATGTAGGAAGAAGGGAGAAAGAACATGTCCAAAGGCAACAGAGGCATGGTACAATTTGTGGTGATCAGGAAATCACAACTTGCTTAACATAGAGGGGAGGTGATGCACAGTGAGAAAAAGAAATGCAGCTGAAATAAACTGCCTGGTGCTGGCCTTGGATGCTGGATGCTGGCCTCTTTTCCAAATGGCTCTTTCTGCTTTTCCCTAGGCTGCCTCTGTCTTGACAGTGTAGTCTTGTAGCAGTACAACCAGGTAGACCAGACTGTGAACTTTTTGGAAAATAGAAACGAAACCCAACAACTTGACAGCCTTCCTTCATTAAGGGGTAATGAGTTGTTTTATTTCTTTAATATGTGGCTGAAAAATCTTCTCCCAATTAACTTTAGGTATTGACCAAGAAGAAATTACAGGACTTAGTAAGAGAAGTGGATCCTAATGAGCAGTTGGATGAAGATGTGGAGGAGGTAAGGTGGGGTTTGGTACCACAAAGACTGTGTCCCTGACAGCTGGTATAGTATAGTGGTTAAGAGCACAGACTGTAGACGCAGACAAATCTGAATTTGAATCTTGGCTCTGCCACTTACCAACTGTGTAGCTGTGGACAAGTCACTTAAACTTTTTGAGATTCAGTTTCCTCCTATGTTGGTAGGTTATGATGTTATTTACCTACAGGGTTATTGTAAGACGGCTGTAGAATAATTTATATGAGTCACCTAGGGGAATGCCTAGCACTTTTTATACCTAGTAGCTGCTGCTACTTTTGCCTGTCAAAAAAGTGATAGTCTGTTGCTGCACTTCAGTGTATGTCTTTTGATCATTTTTTGATCATTGAAAGGCACCCACTTTCAATGATTTTAGCTATTTGAATAATAATATTCCTCCATATTTCTAAGTATAGTTATCTGCCACATAATGACGTTTTGGTCAACAAAAAATCACATGCAAAAGGGTGGTTGCATAAGATTATAATATAGTATTTCCACTGTACATTTTCTATGTTTAGATACACAGATTCCTACCATTGTGTTACAATTGCCTACAGTATTCAGTACAATGATATGATGTACAGTTTGTAGCCTAGGAGCCATTGGCTATACAATAAAGCTTAGGAGTGTAGTAGGCTATACCATCTGGGTTTGTATAAGCACACTCTAAGATGTTCACACAACAAAATTGCCTGACACATTTCTCAGAACGTATCCCTGTCATTAAGTGACATGTGACTGTAATGTACTTAAGCAGATATTCTTTGATTCATTCACTTTATAATGGTCTATTGACTTCCCGTTATGGTAGATGAGAATTTTGTTATATCACTCACACATATGCCATAGAACGTTCCTTTCTCTCATTTTTCCAATGCAGTTTTGTTACAACTTTTGAATACCTCAGATATCAGTACTTTTACTTTACTCACTATATAAATACTGTTCACTTAGCTAAATCATGTCTATGATTACCTCCTTTCTTGTACAACTTATTTTCTTGAAGTTAGTGATAGAATCTTTTTTATTTACTTAGTTTTTCTTATAACACCAAAGTCAAGGGTTTGGATGCCCATACCAGCCAGGTGCCAAAAAGAAAAGTTTTCTTGTGCCTTTTTTTTTTTTTTTTTGGCTCCAATTATGAGCTCTGTTATACACCTATCAAAGTTGTTTTCCGGGCTGGCCCGTGGCTCACTCAGGAGAGTGAGGTGCTGATAACACGAAAGCCACGGGTTCGGATCCTATATAGGGATGGCCGGTTGGCTCGCTGGCTGAGCATGGTGCTGACAACACCAAAAGTTGTTTTCCAAATGGAAAACTAATCTATTGATTTGGGTTTTATCTGTTTTGGTTTTTTTGCCTGTATACTTCACTCCCAGAAACCCTCATCTTCTTCTGGTCTGATTAATTTTAGGCTGCTTGCACAAACTCTTCCTGGGTCTTTTTGCTCTTTCTGTGTGTTGGATCTCTTGTTTCCAGGATCCCACGTCATCTTCTTCATTTACTCCCTTTTTTCTGTTAGAGCACATTTTTTTGTTACTTCTTAAGAGAGGATAGATGGGAGGTAATTGTCTGAAAATATCTACATTCTAACATCACACTTAGTTTTTAGTTTGGCAGGGTTTAGAATTCTATTTTGGTAATTGTTTTTTGGGAGGGAGGGAGGGGGAAAGGGAGAGATTGGATAAAAGGCATAAAGAATAAGTATGATTTGTAACAATGAATATGCTAATAAAAAATATTGTTTTGGGCCGGCCCCGTGGCGCACTCGGGAGAGTGCAGTGCTGGGAGCACAGCGGTGCTCTCCACCGCGGGTTCAGATCCTATATAGGGATGGCCGGTGCGCTCACTGGCTGAGCGCAGTGTGGGCGACACCAAGCCAAGGGTTGCGATCCCCTTACTGGTCACACACACACACAAAAAAAATATTGTTTTGAGGGCCAGCCCCGTGGCTCACTTGGGAGAGTGTGGTGCTGATAACACCAAGGCCACGGGTTCAGATCCCTATATAGGGATGGCCGGTTAGCTCACTGGGTGAGCGTGGTGCTGACAACACCAAGTCAAGGGTTAAGATCCCCTTACCGGTCACTTTTAAAAAAAAAATTTAAAAATAATGATTCACTTTTGTTTTCCCATCTAATTCTGAAGAAAGTGTGGGAAGCAGTGATTGGGTTAGTTGATCCCTGCTGAGTAGAAAGTATGGAAAGTACATCTTCAGAAAGGCGAGTTGCTCTTGACCTGGGTAATGTTTCTATTGTCTTCCTCATCCTCATCCCCTCATTCCTTAGCCCAAATGCTGATTGCAGGCTTTCTGATGGAAAGCCTGACTAAATATGTGATACAGGCAAAAAACAGTTGTCCCAGCAACAGAAACCTTCCCTGCCAATGTCATGGTTACTCTGCTTCACTTTGCCTTCCCCAGATGCTGTTGCAGATTGCTGATGATTTTATCGAGAGTGTGGTGACAGCAGCCTGCCAGCTTGCTCGGCATCGCAAGTCTAGCACCCTGGAGGTGAAAGATGTCCAGTTACATCTAGGTATGTGGTTTTGTTTCTCCATGAAATATCCATGCAACTGTTTCTTCAGGACTGCCAGGGAAAGTATAGTCAGAGGAACCTTTGTGCCAGCACCAGACTTTTGGGCTCTGTGATTTATGTATTCATTTAATAGCAGCACTAGGGCTGGCCGTTTAGCTCAGTTGGTTAGAACACAGCCTTGTAATACCAAGGTCACAGGTTTGGATCCCCATATTGGCCAGCCACCAAAAAATCCAGTACTAGATAAAGAAGAGAAATCTATTCATGGTTGGGAGATTAAGCCCAGACATTGAGTTTGAAACCAGATTCTGGCACTTTTCAGCTGTAACACCTTATCCTTCCTACTTAATTTCTCTTAGAGCCTGTTTCCTCATTTGCAAAGTGGAGATCATAGTATGCTCCTTACAGGATAATTGTGAGAATTATAGATTATATTTGTAAAGTGATTGGCACAGGGCCTGTCACAAAGTAAGAGCTTAGTAAAGGTAGCTACTATTATGTCTACACCATTCAAACAAAACTGTTGGGCTGGCTGGTTAGCTCAGTTTCTTAGAGCACAGCCTTATAACACCAAAGTCACGGGTTTGGATCCTCACACCAGCCAGCCCCTACAAAACAAAACAAATAAAACTGACCTTCAGTGTTCCCTTGCAGTTTTTAGCCTATTTATGCATCTTTTTCCCCAAGAAAATTATAATCATAATGTACATACAATTTTGTATTCTGCTTTTCCACTTAACAGACACTAAATTTGAACTTGGGTTTTTCTGGGAGTTACTCATCTAACATTGATAACCATAATCACTTGGAAATGAATAAGCCCCCTTCTGCATTGGTTACAATGTTATCAAAGAAAGAGAACCACAAAGACAGTCCAGCCAAGTGAAGGAGGCAGAAGATATTAAGAATTCAGTGCAGATCAGTTCATGACTGATGACTAAAAGGTTTCCTTCCCAGGATCAAGGAGCTATTGCTTGGAAGGTGCTGGTAGTCTATATGGAATAAATAACACCCTCTTGTTAATGTCACTGATATTAATAGCAGAGGACAGATAATCCAGTTATCTATTATTGCTTAACAAACCACCCCAAAACAGTGGCTTAAAATGATAACAGTTGTTAGTTTTATTCATGAATCTGGCCTCAGTCAGGCAATTTTGCTAAGGGTCCCTCATGTGGTTAAAGTCAGGCAGTGGCTGGGGCTGAGATTGTCTTGAAGGAAGGCGTATCCATTTCTTAGGGCTGCTGTAACAAAGTACCACAAACTAGGTGGCGTAAAACAACAAAAACTTATTCTCTCATAGCTCTGGAGGCCAGAAGTCTGAAATCAAAGTTTTGGTAGGGTTACGCTTTCTCTGATGCCCCAGGGAAGTCTTTCCTTGCCTCTTCCAAGCTTCTGGTGGTGGCCAGCAATCCTTGGTGTTCTGTGGCTTGTAGCTGCATAACTCCAGTCTATGCCTCAGTCTTCTCATGGCCTTTCACCTGTGTGTTTCTGCCTCTGTGTCTCTTCTCTTCTCATAGGACACTAACCATATTGGATTAAGGGCTCAGCCTACTCCAATATGACTTCATCTTAACTAATTATATCTGCAACATTCCTACTTCTAAATAAGGTCACATTCTTAGGTATTTGGGGTTAGGATTTCAACATATCTTTTTGGGTGACACAATTTAACCCATAACAGAAGGCTTTATCACTTCCATGTCCGATGCCTGGGCTGGGAACAATGAAAAAACTGGGACTCTGCTGGATTCTCTCTCTTTCTTATTCTTTGTCCTTCTGTCTCTGTGGTCTCCCCACATGGCCTCATCATATGGCAGATCCAGTATAGCTGGACTTCTTATGTGGCAGCTGAAGGCTCCCAGAACGAGTGTCCCATGAGCAACTGGCAGAAACTGCGTGGCCTTTTCTAACCCAGCCTCCGAAGTCTCACAGTGTCACTTCTGCTGAATTCTGTTCTTTGAGGCAGTTACAAAGACCTGTCCAGGCTGGCCAATTAGCTCAGTTGGTTAGAGCACTGTCTTGTAACACCAAGGTCAAAGGTTTGGATCCCCTTGTCAGGCAGCCGCCAAAAACAAAACAAAACAAAGCAAAGAAAGACCTGTCCAGTTGCAGGGAAAGGGAACATAGACTCCACCTCTTAATGGGAGGAGTGTGAAGGAATTTGCAGACATGTTTTAAAACCACCACAGCACAAATTCATAGAGATGGAAAGTAGAATGGTGGATACTAGGGGCTAAGATGAGGGGGATGTGGGAAGTAATTGTTTATTAGGTACAGAGTTTCAGTTTGGGATGATGAATAAGTTCTGGAGATGGTTGGTGGTGATGGTTGTACAACAGTGTGAATGTACTTAATACCACTGAACTGTACAGTTAAAAATGGTTAAAAGGGTACATTTTATGTTATGTATATTTTATCACAATTAAAAAACCACCACAGCATGGGTCTAGTTCAAGACAATTGGAAAAAAAAAACCCTCTACCACAGCAGATTATATTACTTTAGAGTTTACCATTCCTATTTCGTACCTTAATTATTGAAAATAAAATTGGAACATCAGTTTATTCATTAAGGGTAAGAAATAATTGTCACAGAGGCTAGAATACTCAAAAGTCTGCATGACCAGAACAGTTTCTATAGCAAGCCTAATGGAAGTTAAATCATAATCAGAAGACTGGGGGCCGGCCCGTGGCTCACTCGGTAGAGTGCGGTGCTGATAACACCAAGGCCGCGGGCTCGGATCCCATATAGGGATGGCCGGTTTGCTCACTAGCTGAGTGTGGTGCTGACAACACCAAGCCAAGGGTTGAGATCCCCTTACCGGTCATCTTTAGAAAAAAAAAAAAAAAAAAAAAGAAGATTGTGTGGAGAGCATGAGATCAAAGCATGGGGAATTAGGCAACCTGATGTTAAATGGCACCAGACCATCTAGGTCTGCTGCACCTACCCCACACCCCTAAAAAAGATGGTTTTGCCACTGGCGCTTTTTTAAAAAAAAAAAAAAAAAAAAAAAGAAGATTGTGTGGAGAGCATGAGATCAAAGCATGGGGAATTAGGCAACCTGATGTTAAATGGCACCAGACCATCTAGGTCTGCTGCACCTACCCCACACCCCTAAAAAAGATGGTTTTGCCACTGGCGCTATCAGCTCTTGATGCTTCTCACCTGGACAAGGCTGGCATTTGCCAGTGTTTGCTTCTGACCCCGGTTTTCCATCCATGCATGGTTGAATAACCTCCCCCCCTTTTTTTTTTTATAACCTCTCCTGATTGATAGTCTTTTTTTTTTTTTAAAAGATGACCAGTAAGGGGATCTCAACCCTTGGCTTGGTGTTGTCAGCACCACGCTCAGCCAGTGAGCAAACCGGCCATCCCTATATAGGATCCGAACCCATGGCCTTGGTGTTATCAGCACCGCACTCTACCGAGTGAGCCACAGGCCGGCCCTTGATAGTCTTTCTTTAGAAATTTTAAAGTTAAATGAGATAATTGCACAATGCTACTTTGTACTAAGAATTTTATTCATTAAATGGTTGTTGCTCGGGCCGGCCCGGTGGCGCACGCCGCTTGGGAGCGCGGCGGCGCTCCCACTGAGGGTTCGGATCCCACATACAGACCGGCCGCTCACTGGCTGAGCGAGGTGCGGGCGCAACACCGAGGGTTGCGATCCCGTTGCCGGTCACGAAAAAAGACAAAAAGGAAAAAAAAAAATGGTTGTTGCTATTATAGCAAAATTATATAAAATATATGTACAAACACATATAAAATATATATATACATATATATAGAATATATATTTACATATACTTGTGTGTATAGCTATACATACTTACATACACACATATAAGCATTCATGCCTACTAGCTACTCTCTTTTTTTTTTTTTTTTAAAAGATGACCAGTAAGGGGATCTTAACCCTTGACTTGGTGTTGTCAGCACCACGCTCAGCCAGTGAGCAAACCGGCCATCCCTATATAGGATCCGAACCCATGGCCTTGGTGTTATCAGCACCGCACTCTCCCGAGTGAGCCACAGGGCCGGCCCCCGATTCACTTTTTATTGGTTGTAAAGTTCAATTCCCAGAGAATAATCTTAGTGTTAATTATTTTTTTTCTAGTGGCTGGTATGGGAATCCAAATCTTTGACCTTGGTGTTATCAGCACCATGCTCTAACTAACTGAGCTAACTGGCCAGCCCCCTGTCACTCTCAAGTACTGACAACATATATTATTAGCAGAAGGTTTCAGACATTTCTGTCTTCAAAGAAATGTTGGAAGAAAGTTATATATCAAAATATCCTAGAACCAAACAGGAATCATTCATTCACACAATATTTATTATGCAATAGACATAAAGTATAGCTATGAAATCATTAATATTCAATTTGGCTTAAGTAGGTGTCTGTTTGTGGCAAAACAAATTTTATAAAACAATTACTGTTTTCAGTGCTTTGGGATCACTGATGAGGAGGGATAAAGGAGTCCCCATGTAAATCCTTTTCAATAGTGATTTATTCTCTAGTAATCTTATCTAAGTATTATTTTTAAATTTTGGGTATACTTAAAGTGCAGTATACCTTTATTTGTGGGTTTAGGGGGCCCTTGTAGCTATGCCAGTTACTGATAAAATGGGATAAACAAAGCCCCTGTCCAGAATGATAAAGTGCAGGGACACAAAGGCGTGGAGCTGTGGTGTGGACTTACCTGGATCTACATCCATATCTCTGTATATTTATCCCAGGCTCTAGACTAAATGCTTTTTTTTTTTTTTTTTCAAAAGATGACCGGTAAGGGGATCTTAACCCTTGACTTGGTGTTGTCAGCACCACGCTCAGCCAGTGAGCGAACCGGCCATCCCTATGTGGGATCCGAACCCGGGGCCTTGGTGTTATCAGCACCGCACTCTCCCGAGTGAGCCACGGGCCAGCCCTGGACTAAATGCTTTATATGCATTATGTCACTGAATGCCCAACCACCCTATGAGGTAGTTATTACTATTGTTATTACCATGTAAAAGATGAAAAAATAGAGATCCAACATCATATAGCTCCACAGTGAAGCAGCAGAGCTGGGCCTTGTCTCTTAACTCCAGAATGCTAGAAATGCCTTTCTGTCCCTATTCTTTCTTTGGGTTTGAGAGGGGTTATTCTGAGCAAAGGATTATGACAACTGAAGAAAGAAGTGACTTTTGTTTTCGGGACTAGGTGAGCTGCAGGGTAACCTTAGGGCTCAACACTCACAGCTTTGACTAATTTACCCCTTTTTCTTTGCAAGAAGCTCAAATTGTGTCCTGTAAAACCCTGGAGGAGCCATGTGCAATTTCTTCATTTGTATTCCATAGAATCCCTCTATAGGGTAGTGTTAGTACAGTTTTTTTTTTTTTTTCCTTTTTGTCTTTTTTCGTGACCAGCAATGGATCACAACCCTCAGTGTCGCGCCCGCACCGGACCAGGACCGGCCACGGGATCGCAACCCTCGGTGTTGCTCCCGCCCCTCGCTCAGCCAGTGAGCGGGAACCGGTCTGCATGTGGGATCCGAACCCTCGGCGGGAGCGCCACCGCGCTTCCCAAGCGGCGCACTATAGCAGTGCGCCACCGGGCCGGCCCAATACAGTTGATGCCCAGATTTGTTCTCACTGATCCTTGTCTGAGGGTCACATTGCACTCCTGATGCTGCCTTCCTGGCACCCTTAATCTATGTGCTGGCTTCTTCCTTGCAGAACGCCAATGGAACATGTGGATCCCAGGATTTGGTTCTGAAGAAATCCGACCCTACAAAAAAGCTTGCACCACAGAAGCTCACAAACAGGTGAGGAGCCACCAAAGCCCTGGGAGCAGCCAGGGCTGATCCTTTGAGCTATATCTTAGAGAGGGTGCCCACAACTACCTTCCAGCGGCCTCACTTCCCCCACACAGCAAGCTTCACTCTCTGGACCAAAGGGCAGTGAGGGCAAGAGGCAACAGTGATCCACAGGAAATCAAGCAGATATTTCTTTGGTGCTGTGTGTTCCCACATGGGGTATAGGTTTTTTTCTCTCAGCTCTGATGGACATCACTTAAAGCTGTTGATTCTAGGTTCTTCTAAAATGGATGGATCTCACTCTTTCCACACCTCCTTAATGAAATCTTCCTTCATTTTTGCTGATATGAACACCATACATGGCCCTATGAATAGAGGGCCAGTTAAAGAAAGCAGAACTATGCTATATTTGTGCTGAGAGAAGTACCCAGGATGCTGTTGGCATTCTGGCCTCTCTTCCAACTTAACCTTTGTTCTCCGCCCCTCTTAACAAGGAACATAGAGGTCAGTGTGAGAATACCACTTCTGCTGTGGAGCAAGTTGTTGCCATCATTAGTCAGTCCATCAGCAATGTTGGCCTTCCTAATTTAACCAGCTACTCATATTTGAAAAGTAAGCTTTTTCCAATCTTCAGAGGCACAGCTTGGCTGTCCTGGGTGAGTGTCCCTTGCTTTTCCATAGCCTGATATCTCTGGAATGAGTGTTTACAGAGCTCCCAGAGGAAGCCCTACAAGGAAGCCGCCAATAGCCTGAATCAAATGATCACAGTGTTCTTCAGAAGGGAGTCCCTCCAGACAATGGAGTGTCACTTTGGCTGTGCTCCCAAATTATCCACTTTTCAGACTTATTTATTTAGTCAACAAACATCATAATGTTGGGACAATCTCTTGGTCAAAAAGAGTGAGCAAAGCAAGTTAGTAATTTGGCCAGTGCCTAGTAATAGTAAAAATTGAAACCCGTGATCTGAGTGTTTCTATGATGGGTTGTGGTAGAAATTGTTGGTCTTGGGGGCCGGCCCGGTGGCGCACTGCTACAGTGCACCGCTTGGGAGTGCGGCGGCGCTCCCGCCGAGGGTTTGGATCCCACATACAGACCGGTTCCCGCTCACTGGCTGAGCGAGGTGCGGGCGCGACACCGAGGGTTGCGGTCCCGTTGCCAGTCCCGGTCCGGTGCGGACATGACACTGAGGGTTGCGATCCGTTGCTGGGCGCGAAAAAAGACAAAAAGGAAAAAAAAAAAAAGAAATTGTTGGTCTTCAGTTTCCCTTCATTGCTAGCCATCAGGTGTGAAATGTCAGTTCCCTTTGTGTGTGGCAACAAGTTTGGTTTCTTTCTTTCTTTTTTTTTTTAGTGATGACCGGTAAGGGGATCTTAACCCTTGACTTGGTGTTGTCAGCACCACGCTCTCCCAAGTGAGCTAACCGGCCATCCCTATATAGGGATCCAAACCTGTGGCCTTGGTGTTATCAGCACCGCACTCTCCCGAGTGAGCCACAGGCTATCCCAACTTTGGTTTTTTTGGTTGGTTTTTTTTGGCGGCTGGCCAGTACAAGGATCCAAACTCATGACCCTGGTGTTATAAGGCTGCTCTCTAACCAAATGAGCTAACTGGCCAGCCACAAGTTTGAAATAGAGGCCCTTTCCCTATTTACTCCATCATGAGAGAAAGAAGAGATATAGGGGTGGGGAGAGCCTAGAAAACATGAGCTTTGTTGGCCTATCCCTTAAGTCCCCAGAAGGCAAGAACTGTCACCTTCTCTTGCTTTTTTTTTTGCCATCCTGCAAACCTAGAACAGTTTGAGTCTTTTGGTTGATGAAATGGGTCCACTAACCCTTCTAAACATCTCTTGGGGCACTACAGACTGTTCTCTGCTTGGAAGGCACCTGCTGAAATGTCCTGCGACTGCAGGTCCCCAAGGTCTCCTCCCTTCTAGTATAGACCTGCTAACCACACATGGATGTTCCAGAAAGCTCCTGAGTCTAACCTGTGTAACTGCTTATTTCTCTCTCCTTTCAGAGAATGGCATTGATCCGGAAGACAACCAAGAAATAACACATGGAAAGGTCAGGAGATGGACAACAATTTATTTGGAGATACTTGAGCTGAGACCTCAGCCATCTCATCCTTGGAGTTTTTTTTTTTTTTAATGCTTTACAGAGAAGCATATATTTTTTATTAACAGTGCAGCAATATCTATAATGACTGAGAGGATCTGCCAAAAGAATAAAGCCTCCTACCCAAACTTCCGGTCCCTTGTCCCTGCCATCTCAAAGAGGAGCAATGTATCTTCCAGAGAAGATTTTATTTGTGGTTTATTATATAAGTGATTGAATATGAGACAAAACATTATGGTCTTGTTGGGTGAGACAGTATTAGCAGGATTTGTAGGTTTTGTTTTTTTATTCCTTCCCCTCTTCCCTGTACTTTGTAATGCCAGTGTTTATATAAACATGACTTTCATTTGCTTTTCCAGAATAAAAAAGTTATTAACCGAAAGACATAGGGTACATGGCTTACAGCCTCTGAAATGCCAGAGAAAGTTAGGACAAGCAAGGCTGGATGTAGCTCTCTAGTCAGCAGGTGGCAGTATTGTTTTTCAGTTCTGTGTTTGAGAAAAACTCAGGGATTTTCCATTATTTTATTGCAAAGGAGGCTGTACCATTAGTAGTTTGAGTCCGGTTTCTCTGCCACAAGAATCAGGCAGGGTGACCTTCTCTCATGAGCCCCAAACTGAAGAGGCATCCTGGTTTTGGCAGTATTATATGCCCAACAGCCCTTTTTGACTTGCTTTTCTGGAACTCCTGGAGAAAGTTGTGTTCACCCTTGTCCCTGAGAAGGGATGGAAGTGGCCTTGGGGAAAGGCTGGTCTGTGCAAGTACCTGACTGTCCTTAGTTGTTGGTATCCTTGATCTTGGTATTTTCACCATAGGGCAGGATAAACCAGGCCCCCTCTAGACCTCAGGATCATGTCCTTCAGTGGCACCTAGCATCATCCTGTCCTGGGCCCAGCACAGCCCTTGTGGATTGTGAGGGTTCCATGGGCTTCAGGCAGGGTGGTTTTTCCACCCGGGAGTCACCAGCATAGGCATATCCACCTTGCCCTGCTTTGGTCCTCTGCCTCCTGAAGCTTGGCCCAAGATGGGACCCTGTTTTTTACTCCCTTCCACTCTGTGTTTGACCCCATGATCGTTATCTTCACAGCATCATAGGTCTCTTGGGTGAGCATCTCACAGGCTCTTCCAATGTTACTGTTGCTTTTGGCTGAGGTCTCAACATAGAGAGTCCCCAAAGAGGCAGCCAGCTTCTCCTCCTCCTCCAGCTTCACCTGACGCACAGCCACCAGTTCACTCTTGTGGCTCACCACCAGGATGAGGATGATGAGGGCTTCACTTTCTCCAGAACAGGCAGCCAGCTTCTCCTCCTCCTCCAGCTTCACCTGACGCACAGCCACCAGTTCACTCTTGTGGCTCACCACCAGGATGAGGATGATGAGGGCTTCACTTTCTCCTGATGACAGTGGGTGATGCTCTCAAAGGATGTTCTGGTGCTGATATCAAACAGCAAGAGACTTGCAGCCAAGTTCCAATAATAAGAGCAGGTCACTGACCTTGGCAGCCAAGAAGGAATCCAGAATTGGTTTTGAGTTCTCTGCTGAGGACAGAAGGGGACAAAGAAATTGGGGGAACTTTAATGGAAAGAACTGGGGTAGAGTCAGAAGACCTTAATTGTTGATCAGCTGTGTGACAGGTAAGTGGCTTCATCTAGCTGAGTCCTCTTGTCGTATCTGCATATTGAGGGGCTTGTTCATTGATTCAGCAAGTATTTATAAGCTGGGCCTGTGCCTGTGCTAGGCAGTGAACTATAGTGATGAATAAAAACAGATTAGAGGGAGTGATCCTGCTACTGGATAGATGTAAAACTGTCTTTGTGACAACGGTTGTGAAGGAGAGTTTCACAGGTCTGGGGGAGGGGTCCAAGCAGTTGGAGAGAAGTGCTATTTGAGCTGAGATTTGAGGGATCCAGGTGAAGGGAGTGGGGATTTCGTTTAAGGACAGTGAACTGCATGTAGTCAAGCCCTGAATCAGTGTAGTGAGGGAAGTTGGGCCAGGTTACGCAGTACCTTGTAGGCCCCAGCAGAGTGGTCTTTATTTTTTTGGCAGCTGGCCTGTAAAAGAGCGGTCTTTATCCAAAAAGTAACAGGAGCCATTGAAGGATTTTAAGTAGAACCATAGTGCATGCAAAGGCCCAGAGGTCTAAAGAAGTCAGTGTGTCGATGTTGCTAAAGGTTAAAGTGCAAGATTAGGAGAGAGTGGCTAGAGATGAGCCGAAAGTGAGCTTGGGGTTGGTTGGACAGCGCTCAGGCTTAGTGGTATGGGCTTCATCCTGGCTTCTCACGCGTGTACATGGAGCCCTCAGTTCAGCTCCCATGCCTTGGAGGCTGCTGTGTATGTGTGTTGCAGGGGATGAGAGGGTGTAGTGTAGGGGACTCTGCAAGCTGGTTCTGGGCTTCCCACCCCTCTTCAGCCTGAGCAACATCTTATTTGTTGGATTTTTCAGGGCTTTGAGAAAGATACCATCAGACAGGAGGATTCTGCTGCTCAAAATAGGCATATAAATAAGACGTTTGAAAACCACTGCACAGGCAATGGAAAGCCAGTGAAGTTTTAGGTAAAGGACTGACCTGACTATATTTGCATGTTAAAAGCCTCACTCTGGCCGCCAGTGTGGAGGGTGGAATGGGAAGCAGGCAGGAAGGGGACCAGCCAGGAAGTGGCTGTAGTTATTTGGAGTAAAGATAAAGGAATAAGGCTTTAAAGGTTTTCCTGAGAAAGAATTTACCAAGAGGCAGAGGTAGGGACTGGCTCAACAATGAGATGAATTCTGAGGACACGAAAGGAGCCATCTGGGACCAGGAAGCCATCCTGGAGAGGGTCCTTTGTGCCTGCATGGGGGGAAGCTGGAAGGAAGAGGGCAGAGCTGGAGTAAGGTCTTCCAATTACCTGGGGTTAGAGAAGAAAAAGCCCTTAGGGGTCATCAAATTATGACCCCTTATTTTACAGGTAAGAACATTGAAGTCTGGAGAGGTCATGTGACCTGTCCGAGGTCACTGGGCAGGTCAAGACTCAGACTTTTGCTCTTGGTCCAGTGTCCATCCATCTAAATGGCCTCAAAGGTACCTTCTCTTTTCCTTCCTGGTGGATGAGCTCTGTCGTTGGTCCTCAGGGATAGAGCAGTATAGAAGCCAGGGAGCAGGCGCCAAGCCTGCTACTGCCATACTCACCAGATCCTTTCCTGACCAACTGTACCCCAGAACTGGAGCTTCACCTGGACCCCAGGCTCCACCTCCACAAGGAGCACAGAGAAGTTCACCTCCACTATCTGGGTGACAAGCATGACATCTGTATAGTGTCTCAGCAAAGATGATTTACCCACAGTTGAGTCTCCTAGAAGGATGACACAAAACTGGTACTGCCAGAGGGCATCCATGGGATGCAGGGGGCCAGCAAGACACTGAGGCCAGCCAGGATGAGAAGCAAGGCCAGAGCCGAGGCACAAACCATGCAGCCATGGGGCTGATTCAGACTTGCACAAGTGGAGCCAGAACCCAAAGGCTATCTGGGGCTTTTGGTTCTAGGCTCCCCAGGACATACCCAAACCCAGGCTTAGAGAAGCTGCCACAAAACCTCTGCAAGGACATGCAATAGAGTATCATTTGAATAGAGGCCTTGGTCCTATATGTATCCTGAGAAGTCTCCAGGCAGTGACTTGAAAGGCCATGGGCAGGTGGTCATAGCCCCCATATGCTAGCTAGGCTGTCTCCTTCCTCTCTGCTGACTGTAGTCCCAGCTCTGGGGCTGTACCTGCAGGAATAAGGATTGTGCAATACATAGTTTGCCTCTCCCACCACTGGGACTTTCAGGACAGCTGGGAGGAGGTGTCCCAGAAAGGAACCCTGGGAAGATTCTCCCACACCTGTCAACACAGACTGAGTGCCTGCTCTGTGCCATGGCCAGGAGCCTAAGAATAAACATTCATAAGGCAAGGGGTAGAGTAAAACAAGATTGGACTTACCTACTGATTTTTGTCACAGCTGAGTTATGGGTAGAAGGAGTTCTTTATGCTATTTTCTACACTGTACTATCTTCTTAATTCTGGGATATGTTTGAAATTTTCCATCATGTTTTTTAAAAGCCCGGTGTTTTCTTGCCCAAGGCATACTCTCTGAGAGAATCAAACATAGCCCTGGCCTTGAAGAACTAGTCTAGTGGGGCAAAAAGACATAGTCAGCAGTGCCTGAAATCTCCAAATAAGAGAGCTGCTCAAGTGCCCTGAAGGCTCAGAGAAGGGACCAATACATTAGGTAAGGTAAAGGCTTGCTGCCGGTTAGCTCAGTTGGTTAGAGCATGGTGCTGATAACACAAAGGTCCAGGGTTCAATCCCTGTACCAGGCAGCCAAAAAAACCAACACATTAAGTAAGGTGACATTTGGGTTGAGCCTAGAAGGATGAATAGTTTCACAGAGAGGCAGGAAGGACATCCCAGGCAAGGGAACGATACATGAAAGACACAAAGGGCACTTGTTAGTAGAAGAAACTTGACATTTATTGGTCACTTAACACACATTTTCATATTTAATCCTCTAACAATCCTGGAAGGTAAAAATCATTCTCATTTTACCATGAAGAGACAGGCTCGGAGAGGCAGAGGGAGGAGGCTGGGTTCCCACCCAGACATCTTCAGTTCCACCCTGTGCATGGTGGATGGGGTGGTTCCTCTCTCTTTACCCACTTGGTTTCAGTGGCTCCCAGAACAGTCAAGGTGTTCGGAAAGGGTCCCATGGATAGCAGACCTTTGCTCTGTTCCTTCTAAGGGGCAAAGGAGATTTATTCAGGCTTGAATTGCAGTGTTTTCAACCCAAAGAAGAGGTGGGAAATCAGGGTGTTTCAGGCTGAGGAAGCAGCTCACAGGTCTGGAGGCCAGGGAGCCTGACTTTGCTGCAGCTGCTGTGGCTGGAGGGTTTGGCAAGGGTCCCATCATGGGGAAGGAGCTTTGCTTGCATAGAACAGCCTAGGGATATACCCAAAGGGAAGATTCTGGAACTTCATTCTTAGAAAGCAGAGCCCAGTCCACATCTCCCAAGGGTGTCAGGACCTTTAATACCTTTGTTAAATTCTGGAGTTCTTATTTCCCCAAAATGGTTACATTGGTAGTCGCTGTTCCATTATAGGGATTAATAGAGAAACTCTCAGGGGAAGGATATGGGGACTTCCATTTTGTGAACTCCTACTGTGTGACAAGCACTGCCCTATATTTCTCTTTCTAAAACCTTCAGAATTAGGTATTACTATCCCCATTTTACAGATGAGTCCACTGAGGCTTAAAGTGATGAAGTGAGTTGCTCACAGTCGAACAGTTAGTACATAGTGGAATTGGGATTCAACCCCAGGTTTGATTGCAAAGCCTGCTTTATTTTTGGCAGCTGGGGTAAAAAAGAAATTGGCTGTGAGATGATGCAGCAGGTGCCAGATAAGGAAGGTCCTGGACTGACATGAAAGGATTTGGATTTTATCCTGGATTTCATCCCGTAGGCCATGGGGAGCCAGTGAAGGATTCTAGCAGGGAAGTGGCCAGGTCAAATCTGTACTTTAAAAAGATCCTGCTCAGGAGCCGGCCCAGTGGCGCACTCAGTAGAGTGCAGCGCTTGGGAGCGCGGTAGCGCTCCCGCCAAGGGTTCGTATCCCATATAGAGACCGGTCCGCTCACTGGTTGAGCGCGGTGCGGGCACGACACCAAGGGTTGCGATCCCGTTGCCAGTCGCGGTACGGGCGCAACACGGAGGGTTGCGATTCTGTTACCGGTCACGAAAAAAAAAAAAAAAAAGATCCTGCTCAGGCAATATGGATGCTGAAACAGGGGAGACCCCGTAGGCCTGAGATCCCCAAGAGGAGTGGCACAATCTACACTAGAGACCAGGAGAGAGGGTATGGGGCTGGGTCACAGACCATTCAAACCTGCCCTATGCAGGTCACGAGATAGGTAGTTGGAAAAAGATTCTGGGAGCCATTAGCAAGGTTGACATGGTTTATTCGGATGTGACTCAGCCCCCCAGTGGATCAGAGCCATTGTCTTTATACTAGAATCAGATAATCAAGGAACACATGGGTGCACATGCGCAGTTATACCACTCTTACATAACGTATTTACAACAGACATGCTGAGTCATGCTCAGCCAGATATGAGGTGAGAGAGCTTGACCATTCCGTCTCCATTTTCCTCACAGAGGGCCTGATTCTGAACAGTGGTGGGAGGTGCCCTTCTCTGCCTCCACCCATCTTCACTGTGTTCTCTGCCTTCCCTCTAGCCAGGGGTCTAGTGGGGCTGCCTAGTACTGCTTGTGCAGGTGCACACCCATAAAAGCCACTTACAGTCTCGAGGTTTTGCCAAACCGAGGAGGCTTGTGAGGGTGGGATCAGATCCCTGAGGCATGAGGTAGGACCCACCTGAGGCCTGGCACCGGACTGCTGAGTCAGCCTTGGTACACCCGTTCACTCACATCCGTTTTCCTCCCTGGACTCTTGAAATGGGCAAGATTAGCCTGACCCCACAGGGTTAAGCCACTGGCAATAGAAATAGCTCACAGTGCATGAACCCATAGGTGTGGTAGGAGTTTGTACATCATTTAATCTCACAACAACCCTGTGAGACAATTATTCCCATTTTACATATGGGAAACAGGCTGCAAGACAGAGATGTGTGATTCCAGCCTGCTGTACACTAGAGAGGCAGTGGGACACTGTCTTTTCCTTAGAGGTGGGCCCTGCCCTGAGGGGCTGAGGCCTCAGAGACTGATTCTCCAACCTCTGGCCAGGATTTTGAGCGGGTATGGGGTGGGGGGGGGGTCAGTTCTTTTTTCCTCTCTCTCTCTGGCGATTTGGGGATTTGCTTTGGGAACCTGACAGCTAAACCTCCATCCCCATCCTTGATCTGCTGCTTGTCTCCCAAACAAGCTGCAGTTTAGACCTGTGCTGGGGAAGCTCTGGGAGATCAGAAACCACGGGCTGAGTTGAGGGTCATTCCCTGCTCATTTGCTCCTTTCCAGGCACACAGAGCACCTCTTTCCTAGAAAGAGTCCAGGCCTTCCTTGCCTTTGGGCTGTGGCTCTTGCTATTCCTTCCTCTCTACTTATTGGCTGTGACTTCTGGCAAGTCACTTAACCTCTCTGGGCCTGTCTCCTCATTGCTAAAGTGGAATAATAAAACCTACCTCACACGGTTATTGTGCAAATTGAGTGAGTTAATATATATAAATCACCTAGTACATAAGAAATGCTCAATCAATGCAGGCTACAATTATGGTTCCTTCTGCCCAGACCTCTGCTCTTAGCTTGGCTCCTCCTCCTTCAGGTCTCAGCTCAAAGGTCATCTCCTCAAGAGGCCCTCTCTGACCACCTGTTGTTCTAAAGGAGCCCCCCCCCCCATCACTCTCAGTCCCAGTTCCCAGATCGGTGGTCTTCACAGCTGGAAATCATTTAGTTCATTTATTTACTTGGTTTTTTTCTCTCTCTTCCACTAGAATATTAGCCCCAGGAGGGCTTTTCTGTCATATTCACTGCTGTATCTCCAGAGACTAGTACAGAGTAGATGCCCATTTAAAAATTTTTGATGAAAGAATGAAAATATGCCCTAATGCAAATTTCCTTCTCCTGGCCCCAGCTCTTCCATTTGTGAAATGAAGATAATTGTACCAACCTCACATGGTTGTCATAAGGACAAATGAGGTTGTTTTAAAAGAGGAGAAAGGACCAAGGGCACAGGTAGATCCACCCTAGCCCAGTCTCCATGAGGAGGAAGATAAAAAACTCTTACTGAAAACCTCCCAAGGACCCTAGGAAGAAAGGATTATCAGTCACATGTTACTGAGGAGGAATCTGAGGCTCTGGCTCAGGGTCACAAAGTGAGTTAAGTGGTTGTGCTATTTTTGCTGTGGCAATTGTCCATGCCCTGCCCGTGCCCACTGGCACAATGACACCTCCCAAGATGTACCCCCTACACCTGCTGAGATTCTACCCAATATAAATACCATCTCCTCCATGAAGACCTCACTAATTGCCCACAAGACATTCTCTGCTGAGCAGTTCCTGTTGCAAGTGAGGTTCCCCAGGAGGTAGATTCTGAGACGGAGATTATCGTGCAGATATTTATTAGGGGGTATTCTTGGGATCTACCTGGCTGGGTAAGGAAGGGAAAGAAGCAGGATTGGGCAAAGGGAGAACTCGCCTATAATGTCACAACAGTGTCCTCAGTGAAACCTGTAGAGAATAATAGAGCTAGGTTTGACCTTCAGAGTTCACAGTTGGGACAAGAGGGCAAGGCCTTGACACCTCCCCAAAAGATGGATAAGTGTGGGCTGCCCCTGAGGGGTGGGCAGTTCCCAGGGAGTGCTGCAAGCTGAAGTCCATCATCCAGCAGTACTTCTGCAGCTGGGGGAGGGGGAGGGAGAGGGAGAGGGTGACGGGTCCTTTCAGCTCCACAGGAGGATCTTGGTGGCTTATCATAGTGTCCCTGCATGCACAACATAGTTGCTGCTCATTCATGTTCATCCCTGCCTCCCAGATCCAGATTTATTTTTTATTTTTTTGGCGACTGGCCCATACAAGGATCAAACTCTTGACCGTAGGGTTATCAACACTGCACTGTAACCAACTGAGCTAACCGGCCAGCCCTACCAGATCCTGATTTAGCCTCTGGGCTTGGGGTGGGCAGCAACCCTGGATTTGAGGCAGCATCTTAATCCCATGCCCAGACCCATCCTAGCCTGAAGACCTAAGGAGGCTCTTACCCAGGCTCCCACTGAGATTCCCCACACCTGTCCTTGCTTGTGTATCAGCATCCAGACGCTGAAATGCTGCCAGAAATGTCCACATTGCAGCCAAGAAAGGAAAGAGTGGGGATGACAGCTTTTGTCATTCAGTTCTCACTGTGGCAGGCTCTGGGTGAGCACATGCTGTTCATTATCTCATTCATTGCCACAGCCTCCCTGTGAGGTGAGATCTTTTTTTTTTTTTTTTTTTTTTTTTTAAAAGATGACCGGTAAGGGGATCTTAACCCTTGACTTGGTGTTGTCAGCCCCACGCTCAGCCAGTGAGCGAACCGGC